AGCGCACACACCCTATAACAAAAATTTCTCTACAAAAGAAAAAAATGTAGTTCCAACCAGAAGACTAGCCTCTACAGGGAGACTCATCACTCCATATCGGAGGGGGTTGGAATATTGAGGTACACTGGAGATCCTGTTTTCCCAATTTGGAAGGAGGGCATTGATCATGGCAGGTAAAAACTTCCAAAGTGCCCGATGAGCTGCTTAGGTGGATTCTGTTTTTGTTTTTGTTTTTGAAGAGAGAGTTTTTTTTTTGTTTGTTTGTTTGTTTTTTGTTTTTGCTGTATGGCGTGTGTGTTCACTTAGAGAGTCAGAGACAGAAAGACAGAAAGTGAGAAATCACCCCCCATGGGATGGCCTGCCGCAATCCCTTCTCCTCCATTCTCCTCTTGGGATTTTGGGCACACATGCACACGCACCAGCATTACTTTTAAGCTGCCAGGTCCAGGACTCGAACCATGGTCAACAACATGGGAGTCCAGTGACGTAACTATTATGCCATTTGCTGGTCTTTGGGACTGTTTTAAGGGCAGCCCTTACAGCACTAAAGCCAAGAAGGGATGGCTAAGATTACAACTGAATGTGAGAATGACCAATGTTTGGTTTATTTCTATTCTGACCCTAGGAAAAGAATAGTTATATAATTGAAGAAATTTAATGCACAACAAAATAGAATGTATAAAAAGAAAAAAAAAAACAAAACCCCCGCTGTTCACAGGGTCTGGTCTCAGCAAATTCATACAATAGAAAATCATTTATTTTTAATGTTTGGTTTCCTTATTTTGCATCTTTCTTCACACCACTCACTACCTCCCCCTACCCAACCCAAACTAACGCTACCAAATGCTTCTCTTCAGAAGTGATGTAATGAGGGAACAAAAATAAACTCAGCCTGCCTGAATTCAAATTCTGACTCTGCTCCTTACTATTATCCATGTGACTTTGGCAAATTACTTAACTAACTAGTATCTTCAGCTATAAAATGGAGGTGACACTAGCACCCCATCATAGGGTTATTGTGAGGGTTCACTAATACACAGAACTTAGAACAGTGTGTGGAACATACCAAGTACTAGTTACATGTTAGTAATAGTATTGGGTCATTGGAAAAGTCATGACATATTTTTCTATGTTCTAGGCAAAAATGTGTCATGGCTTTTCTGATGACCCAGAGTTCTCAATTTCTTTTTAAAGTTTTTTTTATAAAGAATTATTTTAACTGTATTATCATCATTATTATTATTTTCCAGTTTGATCAGAGAGAGACAGAGGAAGAGATAGAAAAGTGAAAAAGCAAGCTACCAGGTCCAGGACTTACACCGTAGTCAGCCATGTGGGAGTCCAACGCCTTTAACCACCATACCACCAACACCCCACCCCCAAATTCTCAATTTCTCTACCACTTTATCAAAACCTGATGTCAGACCTGCAGTTCTGGAGAAGGGAGTAGGTTTTTTTTTTTTTTTTTCCTGTCCTCTTTTCTGAGGAAAACCTAGGAAGTTATTCCTGTTGTGTAGTAGTCAGAAAGTCCAAATTCTAGTCTCCTCTGACCTTTGCTCCCGACCAACTGCAAAAGACTCCATGTAAAATGAGTCTCAGTTTCCTCATCTATAAAATGGGAATAATTTGACATGCTCAGGACCTACCCAGGGCGTTGCTATGAAGATGAGTTGAAATAATGTATAAAAACATACTTCATCCCTGGGACCAGCAGTTGGCATAATGACTATGTCGTTGGACTCCCACGTAGTTGACTGTGGTTCTAGTCCTGGACCTGGTGGCTTACATTCACGTCGGGCGCGTGTGCGTGCGTGCCCAAGATCCCAAGAGGAGAATGGAAGAGAAGGGATT